ATTGAGTTTTTATATATTTACAGTAGCAAATGTTTGAATTATCTTCACAGAAAAATGATCTTTACTTAATTAAGAAAGAGATGCATCATTTTGACCCAAACAATAGCTAAAATATTTCTGTGCAACAGAAGACTAGCTTTATGGTCCATGGTCATTTATAAATTTACTTGATTAGTTCTCTGTGAATAATTCTGACTATATGGTCGTAACATTAAATCTTGTAATTATAACATATAATATATGTAGATCATTCCCTTTTACAGCCATTTAACAGTACACTTATAAGCCACCATTTATTTTTAAATTAGTTAATTTACTAAAAGGTAAAAATGGTTCAAACCAAATAAGCACATAAAAACAAATTCATCTAATAAAGTCTTGATTCTTTGATTTATTTATGGATAAATTATAACCTGAACATTTTCTTGACACGTTTTGTGAAATTCATCCTTGTAGATCTTTGTCTGTGGGCATAGTCTCTTCGCACGTCCTCCAACAAGCAGTCATCACGTCTAGTACACAGCCAGACTGTCATACAAACACTGCAAGCCAAAACGCAGAGCCCACATTTGCCCATCTGTTATGCCAAAAGAACCTGGCCAACAGTCACTTCACTTTCCCAGAAGAATCGCTCTGATTTACTTGTCTTCAGCAGCACTAGTGCATTTGAAAGCTGAGGTCATCACTTTGAGAAGCACTGAGATCTGGCAGCCTCATTTGTGGGAAACCAAGAGGTTTATGAGATGATGGGGCCTGTGGTGCTGATGATACAGTTTCACAATGTAGTGAATGAGAGACTTGAATTCATTGAGAAAAATGAGCTTGAAGGTTCACGAAACCCTCAAGTACTTTTTTTGCGATTTTAACAGATTTGTGTGTGTTGAGCATCAGTAAGGATAACGTTACCTATAAGGATAACGTTACCTGTTACCTATATTTGTGGGGAAAACTGGATAATTTTGATATTTTGCCGGCTAATTCATTGCAACGTAGCGCAGAACTGCAAGTGCAAAGATTCTGTGCCGGTTTCTCATTATTATTCATAGAGGAGTTTTCTTATCCTATGAGAAGAGCCGGCTTCTTAATTATTCATGAGAGCACGTGCTTTCCGAAGACAAAGCAGACCTGCCAGTGCCAAGCTCAGTTGTGAAATCCTTTGTTGATGACTGGGTGAGAAGCGTCCGCGGAGCCATGGCACGCACTATTTAGCCGTTCATGAAGTGTTGTATGTGTTTGTTTCATTGATCCACGGGGTTTGTTGCATGTTTTTCCCTGTGATCCTGTCAGGGCAGATACAGCTAAGTTGTGTGTGTGCTGCAAGCATTTTTGTCGGGAGAGAATAGCGGAAGTTATCTTTTATCAGGAGTTCGTTCACATTTAGACACATCGCCGTGCTGCTGTGTTCGCCTCCTCCAGATTACCAGTAGGGCTAATGGTTAAAATAGACAGGGCAGAGACCTGCTGCATTCAGAGAGAGTCTGCATTCAGACCCGGGGATTGAGGGAAAAGTCCTCATTTAGTGTTTATATGAACACGATTATCTTTGTAATGATATAAATTGTGGTTATGTGTATATGAAATTACGAATGTAGCAGGGCATAAAATTACTGTTTATTTCTTTGCATTTTAACTGAGGTGGACCTAAACTGAAAGTGGGGGGTGTCATGGCCCTTTAAGTGTGATGTCATGGGAAGTGGCTTCTGGGTCCAAGCGTTCTATCAAACTGTATGGGGAGACTCATCAAATGGTCATAATAAATATTTAAAAGGTGATGTAATACTTTCAAAAATTGCGGTCGCAATAGATAAAATGAGTTTCAAATGAGTAGCGGCTTGGACCCGGAAACGGTATTTCATACGTCACGACTTAACAAGCAGACAAAATTGAATTAAAGCACACACTAGAGTTTCGCCATTGGCTTTTTTGCTATATAAATAACAGACTATTTTGATAAGCTAAGCTTTACACATATCAACAAAATTAAGTCATTAGCTTAAACGACATTAAAATGTTCACATTTAAAAACACAAATAGGTTTTTGCATTTTTCACAAATTAATTCTCTCTAAGCCGAAAAGAAAATGAATGAATGAATGCATGGCATCCACCATTTTGTCATTATCATGTGATCTACCAGCATCAGTTGTGCTGCTTCAATTTTATGGACCCTTTTAACAAGCCTGCTATAATGCGTTTAACAGTCATCAGCATCTTAAATCCTTTTAAAGATTTTGATATTTATAGTTTTTAAAACATATAAACATTTATATGTATTTCTGTATGTAGTATATCATCTTTGCTTCAAATTACAAAAAAACAAATTACCACTTGTGCGAGGTGTTTCTAATGCAGTGTCTATGGGACAGGACAGTAAACTTGACGTTATTCTCTCCACTGGCTGCAGCCATCTGTCTCACACATTTTTTTTTTTCCTTTTGCCTTTATAACATCATCATGGAGCTTTTCTATTATTATTTGAGCAAAAAAGATTGTAAAAAAAAACAAATTGTTGTATTCATCCATTCACTGCACTTTGAGTTTTTCTATGTCGACTTCCTCTTTTGAGAAACCCGGAAATTTTCAAATCAGCTTTATTTGTATAGCGCTTTTACAATGTAGATTGTGTCAAAGCAGCTTCACATAAATGGTCATAGTAACTGGAACAGTGTAGTTCAGTTTTTAGTGTTTAAGTTCAGTTCAGTTCAGTTAAGCTCAGTTCAGTGTGATTTAAAATCATTACTGAGAGTTCAAACACTGAAGAGCAAATTCATCGATGCGTAGCTCTACCAATCCTGAACCATGCGAGCCAGTGGCGACAGCGGAGAGGGAAAAAAAATTCACCTGATAGGAGAGTGAAGAAAAAAAAACCTTTAAGAGAACCAGACCCAGTTAGGCACGACCATTTTAATTTCTCCGCTAGCCAAAAGTCTTGTGCAGAGAATGTGAAAAGGGTCTATTCATAAATTCTCTCCTTTGGCCTTATGGGATAGTAAAGTTTCAATTGAATGCAAACTTCAGATTTTCAGTTGATGTAGAAGCTCATCCAGGTACTTCTTGCAGAAAATGTTTCTAATACTATGGAGACCTGTGGCTAAGCATGTTCTGCCCAAGTCGTCGAACGGAAATCAGAAGAGAAGGACTGCCATTCCAGAGCGGAAGCAAATAGATACATTTTGAATAAAGATTACCAAAACAAACCTTTTTTTTTAGTGGATTAACTTGCACAGATTATTTGTTCACCTTAAGAGAAACAATGTGCGCTAGTGAAATAAACACTTTAAATTTTGATTTTATGTAGACTTTAAATGCCGGATACTGAGATGGGTGAATTCTGAAGAACACATTATTGTTTTTTATGATCCCTCAGCTGTAAAAGTACCTTCTTTAAATGTAAAATTAAAAACCTCACGCTGTTACTTACTTTAAACTACGTGCAAATATAATATGCAAATCTAATTTTCAGCAAAAGCCAACTGATCTAAATGCAGTCTCCATAACCGTTCCTCGTGACACACTTAACATTAAGGAATCCGCCGCTGCTTCACAAAAACTCATTCCCACAAACTAGCACTCCCGATTCTATTTCCTGACTTTCTTTCAGACTCTTTCCACATGTAGACACAGTCTGGACCACATTCGCCTCTGCTGGAAATAGAATACTGGCATGGCGAAATATTAACTCATTAATATTTAGTTTATGCTGGACAGTGCTTTGAATCTTCCCCCCACAAAGCTCAGTCACGTAGCCTAATTAATAATCCATGCGCAAGCTTGTAATAGGGCAGCTGACTACACATACTCCGCCCAAACCGTCTTTCAGCCAATCATTGCTTTCTTGCTCGGTACACGATTAATATTCATTAGCCACGTCTTCTCCATAGAGTGGCGTCCTGAACTAGGGTCACAGATGTGGGGACTAGTGACGCTACTAGTTCTGTTCACAGCGCGCACGTAGCGCACTCAGCATTCATTAGTATGCGTTGTTTACATTGAAGGCCAGCTAAAGTGTACTTCTCTAAATCCGCGGTCTTAATATTTAGACAGCAAGATCTAGCTGTCTGCTCTTTACATTTCTGAAAGCATACCAGGAATTGCAATACGATTTATTATAGTCTCGTATATATATTTTTAGGAATTCCCAATAATGTTAAAACATGTTTTAAAGAAATTATTAAATGATTATTAGATTATGACTGATCAGATGACACAAGAAATGAACAAAATAGAAGACAAATAGATAGAAAGATAGATAGATAGATAACGTTAGATAGATAGATAGATAGATATGTTTAAGCTGTTCAACATGTAACGTTCGCTTTCTGCATGATACATTTTCTTAATTGTCTGGGTTGACAACTTTTTTGGCTTTAATTAATTATTGGCTGCTTCGTTTTTCTGCTACGAGAATTAAATAATAGTTAACAAGTTAAATCAAAATGGTCAGCGACAAATAACAACACCAGTTTGTTTGCAACCTCGCAAATTTCAGACAAAGACCCTATCGCTGTCACATTTCATGCGTTACAAGTCAAACAACTGTAAATAAAATACGTTTTACTAAAGCTCCTTCTCACTAGCACACCAGAAAAACGCGGCTATTTGTGAAATATTTGTAAAACGAATAAAAATAGAGATTCGAGCATCCACACTCTCCATTTTCGAGTTGCTCTAGTTCTCGTCTTGTTGACATCGGCTTAAGCCCGCCTCCTCAAAACGTATAGTCACTCTATTGGTTAAAGACAAAGTCAATTATATTTAAAGAAGCGGACATTGGACGGGACACTTGTCAACAAATATGACGCGCTCGTATTTCAGCAAACCCCGCCTTCCATGTGTCTATAATGCCACAGAAATTGTTGTCTGGAACTAGGAAATCGAATTTAACATTAAGTGAAAACTTATAAAGTAACAAAAAAACAAAACCACAACTAAGTCAAAGACTTGTCTAACAGTTTTTGTAGCTGTCAGGGAAACACGACGAGGTGCTCCGGTTGTACGTACCGTTTAATCCAGGCTCCCCGTTGTTGTCCGCTGGAGCAGCAGCGTCGGACATGGTGGCTCTGTGTAGGGCGGCTTGCAATAGACTGTTAGCAGCAGCTCAGAGTCAGCACGAACACACGCGCACATTCGGGCCTGCGCGCTCACGCGTGACGGAGCCTGACCCCAGATCGGACGCTCTGTGGAGAGGACGCTCTCACTTTTGCTAATAACTGCTTTCTGAGGCTGACCTCAGAACGGTTGAGGGAGCGCTGGTTTCCTGCAACGCTGAAGTGACGCAAACGGGGTGCATATCTGATAACAAAGACACTAAGATTACGTAATGGAGTCGAGGACTGCATATTTATGAAAAGCACGTGAATTATGGACACGTTTATCAATAATCTGAAGTGCTGTATGGCGAGTCGATTTAACATTTTGATGTGTAGTTTAATTATTGGTACTAGCACTACTTTATTATGACTTATAAAATCATTCATTTAAAATCTTTACAGATCGACAGGGATCCATTTTACTTTTTAAAATGACTGTTTATATGACACAACCCACTGAATTTGGTTATGATGACTTTTATAATATAATGTCATAGTCAGGGGCGGATTTAACCAATAACTTAGCGAGGTAAGCCCCCCATAAATATCTAGAAGTAAAAATTATACCTAACTACATATAAACTCGTTTTCTACCATATTTTGTATGGTGAGAGTTACAAATACAATTTTAACGTAATTAGATATTATTTAATATACATATGATATCTTTATAATAATGTAATGTTATGCAATAATATTACAAAAAGTATCCATCATGGAGCAGTCCAGCAGTAACATTTATTATTTTTCATTTGTAAATTAATAATAATAATAATAAAAAAAAATCATCAAATTAAAAAAAGCATTAATTTAAAATGTCGAAAAGATTATTAAGTGATAATATATATAAACATAAAAACAAAATAAATAAAAGTAGAAAGAGTTCATTTCAGGACTTGGGCCCTGTGGCTGCAATTGCTATGGCCCAAAAAATCACTAAATCCACCCCTGGTCATAGTGGTACACAAACAGACCAAATGAATGGTAATTTACGACACTAAGAAAAACTCAAACAGACTTATCAGAATATTTTTTGAAACTATTTTAATGCTTAGCATTGCTGTAGATAATGCATTTTTGGGGGGATTTTAACCATCTTGTACTTATTTTAGTTTTCTTGATATGCTAACAGCCATTAGCATCGTTCACCAGTGTGTTTCGAGGCCAAGGAAGTGAGGTTTACACTTTGTTTTTATGCATTTTAGCAGTTTATTCTAAATGTCAACCTTGCCATAAAAAAGGTAAAACTTTATTTTGATGGTCCATTTGAGTATTAGTAGACTGTCTGCTTAATATCCGTTTACACTGCTGCTAAACAGACATTTAACTGACTATAAGAAACTTTGCAAGTATGTTAACTTACACTAACCCTAACCCCAACCCTAACAGTCTACTTATAATCTAATGAGAATTAGTTGGCATGTAGATGCAATTTAACTTAATTTCAATAAACAGACCATCACAATAAAGTGTCTGAAAAAAAAAATAGCCTCACTATTTTTTTTGCTTGTATTTTACAGTACTTTTAAATGTCTTTGTCAATGTTTTCAAACAATTATATTTGATTTTCCAAAGTCACACAAGGGCCAAATTCACACCTGTCACATCCATAACAAAGCCTTTTCCTCATGAATGCAAAAATATAAAATAAAATCAGTCATTTTGTTATATAGTGAGCCAACTCTTATCCTTTTGATTTGCGTAATTTCTTTTGGGTTGGGCAGTTTAATTCCTAGTTTCTATGGAGTTGTATACTGCAAACTCGCATATTGGTCACATCCAAACCATATTTATTTCCCTCAGTTAAACTTTAAAAAAATGTTTACAGAATAATATTTTTTCTTTGTGGATAGCTATTTTTTAAAAAAATAGACAGATGTTTTAATATAATGTTAACATATACTTTGTTCATTTATGTTTTGAGTTTTTACTGCAAATGTCATATCCGTTTTTAAAAATTCTGCGGCCGTTATCCTTTTTGTGTAAACCCTCAAGACATTGAATCTTTGAAAACTGCAACATTATGCGTGTTAAGTTTGTAGTATGCAGACATGTCGATTTTTAAGGTGAGCGCAATCAAACATATACAAAAGTGGCAAATTTCATGGTGGTATTCTAATGATTGCCAAAGGCTTCTTTAGCAAAGTGTGGATTTACTTCTCCAACAGTACAACCGACAGCATAGATGGATTATATACACACATGGCAGAATCTAAATAAACACCAGCAGAGTTGTCAATGACACAATCTCTTCTCTAGAGGAACTATTTACACTAACACCCAATACAGCATTGGGTGTTAATAGTGTGTTTTCCCCAATAATTTTCAAAACCTTTTCAAAATGCAAGAGAAAAACTTTTGCATTTTTGGCTATATCATGTAAACGTAGCCTAAATGTCACTCTCTTCCAGGTTACGGCACCTGCATGTCCAGAAGGCATGTTAATAAGCTCACTAAAGACCACAGCTTATAGTGTATGCTTAATTATAGGTTTCTGTTAAATACCAGTAAAACATGGTTCTATCAAACTGGTTGATGAATGGATGGACAATTTGAATGCAAGTTCTGCTTTCGATAAGAAAACTGTGGGGTTTAGGACTTAAAATTAAGGTTTAAAATTTGGAGAACACCGCTTGTCACCAGACAGAAGTCTGTCGTTTCACCATGACATTTGGATTAAATACTACAATCTCAATTTTTGTTTCAGATGAAACCTGTACATGAAGAAATAACCATAAGTTCCAGAACATGCATTCACAAAACGGGATTTTTTTGGTCATGTTCACTTTTTTAAATAACCCAAGTTCTGACCATTTATTACAGGTATTAAAACCACTAAAATAGTCATTTGTACCAATATTGACCACGATTAATGTACTAATTTTAAATAGGACCTAAAGAAAAACAGTTAAAAACTAAATTAGTAAATCTAGAACCAGTATTTGCAACAACTGTAACTAGCCATAAGGAACAAATGTTAAATGTCCGTGCCCTGTTGATGTCCCATTTAGTGGCTTGTATGTTCTTTTTTAGTTGAATCAGATTTTAAAATTAAAATATATCAGATAAAATTGCTGATCTATCAGTCCATAATCATCTGAGACAGGGCATTCAGCTCAAAAAGCTTGTAACAGTTTTTAATATCACTATATGCTGCAAACAGTCAACTTGTTCCCCTCATTGTTCGCAACAATCTTTATTATAATATAAAAAAAAAAAATATATATATATATATATATATATATATATATATATATATATATATATATATATATATATATGTGTATATATATATATATATATATATATATTTTTTTTTTTTTTTTTTTTTATTTTATTGCAGTTTCTTAACTGGTATGGCAAGAAGACTATAAACCAGGGGTGTGCAAACTCGGTCCTGGAGGGCCAGTGTCCTGCATATTTTAGTTCCAACCCCAATTAAACGCATCTTAACAAGCTAATCAAGCTCTTTCTAGGTATACTAGAAACTTCCAGACAGGCGTATTGAAGGAAGTTGGAGCTAAACAATGCAGGACACCAGCTTTCCAGGACCGAGTTTGCACACCCCTGGTATAAAGGTGAGGTCAGAGCCCGCTCCAAGTGGGTGGGACTTCATAAACCTAGTGTTTTTATTTATGCAATATCATTCTCACAACACAGAATCCAACATTGAGCTTCATGAATGTCTATCCCTACCCTAACCCCAACCTCACACTTGCCTGTTGATTTTTATTAATATCTACACCTGCCCCAGCCTCACATAACCTGACTCATTTTTAATGTCTACTCCACCTAAACCCAGCCTACTTGTGCCATAAGTCCTTCCCACTTGGAGGTCACCTAACATACTTGCAGTGTAATCCCTACTTAAAGGTATCTGGGCTGCAGGGAAACCTACTTGGACATGGTAAGCAACAGTTACACATTTCAAAGAAGAGGACACGACTCATTTATTTGTTTGTTCCGTTTATAAATACCATTTCGTTATCATAATCTCTATAATCTTTCTCAAACTGTAACTCTTGAGATAGAGAAGAGTGTTGACAGAAATCGGGCATGGGTCACAAAGGAAAATAAACCCTGTAAGGCTGAATGACTTGTACATGAGTGAGCAGTCCAACTGGGAGTGTATGTGCTTGAACATATGTAGAAGGTCAACTACTACAGCAAACATGGCAGTGCCGTCTGTGCCACAAAGAAAACCAACAAGAAAAAAAACTCTTTGGGCCAAAGCCATGGTGCATGGATATCTGTAACGAAACGTGGCTGAAACCATTTTGTAGCTGTATGGAGTGGAACGGGACAGTATGAAATGTATAGAGTAGTAAACTAAAAAGAAATAAATCTAAAAACGAAAAAAGAAGAGACACTTATTCTTGAAACAGAATTAAAATGAACTAAACAACTTGGCAGTTTCTCTGAAAAGAGTTTAAAAACAGTTACAATGGCACAAACAACATCGAGGATTAAAGGACACAGGGACACATCCATATGAGTTCAAATTAGTTTTTATACAGACACCTTGAAGAAACCGAAGCCAAAAAAATGAAAGAAAAAAAAACTAAAGAAAAAAAAAAACTGGTTGAAATCTGTCAGAGCTTTGCTGCCCATTTCATCCCTGGGCTCGGACTGACTTGTGGGTAAAGGGGAAAAGGGATGGAGGGTACAGACACAGGTTGGCACAACATCACCAGTGCAAGGCGCATGTCATGGTGCCACAGAGGCCAAAGCCAGGTTGCGCTTCTTCTCCAGACCAGCTTGAACCAGTTATCTCAGTATTGGCAGCCGCTAGTTGGCTCAACTAGTTCATCCTGTCCTGGAGTAGGCCAAGGTTGGTTTATGTGATGACGGTGGTTGTCACAGAAATGATTCTTGCTAGTTCAACTTTTTTTTGTTGGTTTCACATAGAGCGAGAGAGGTTCGGAGGTTTTCTTTCCCCGTGATGACAGTATTAGTTCACTTTTTCCTGGAAGATGTAGAGGTTGTTGGTG